CCTGCCTCTGCCTCCCGAGTGCTGGGATTAAAGGCGTGCGCCACCACCGCCCGGCTTCAAATATAGCTCTTAAAGTATTGCTTTAAGACTGTTGACTGCACTGAACAGTGGTTTTTTGTTTTTGTTTTTTGGTCTTATTTGTATTGATACACAAATAGGGGCAGTCCTGGAAGTGGTGGTTTACTGGTAGGAGAGGTCCTAGTTCTGAACTTGTCTTACTGTTTGGGTGGACGGTGTAGGGTCTCCGCAGTGTGGGTCTCCAGCTGTGGTGTGTATATGAGTGGTAGAGGTCTCTGCAGTGTGGGTCTCCAGCTGTGGTGTGTATATGAGTGGTAGAGGTCTCCGCAGTGTGGGTCTCCAGCTGTGGTGTGTATATGAGTGGTAGAGGGGGTGAGATGGGGAATGCTTGTGCTCAGAAAGCGAAAAACTTCACTTTGGTCACTGAAATGAGCACTCAGGGAAGTAATGTGGGATTTTTATGGTTATTATTAAGACAGTCTAAATTGTGATAGTTTTCTACAACAGAGTAGATTTTTTTGTTTTAAATGGTCCTGGAGGGGAAAGTGTCGCTGTGTGAACCAAAGTACTGCTTGAGAACAAGCCCATCCTGAAATGAGGTTCTCAGTGCAGTGGTGAACAGAAAAGCTGTTGCTTTAGGGAAATGGTTTGTTTTGCTTATTTGGGAGTAAGTGGCTGTTCTCACAGGTGTGCTTAAGTGTCCAATCCTAATACAATTTCCCCAAACTGTACACACTTAACTGTCTGTGTATCATGGTCAAGGCCCCCTTAAATTTATAAGCTTAAATGTCTACATGATTGCAAGAACTCATCTGGACTGAATTGGTGGGGCGGGGGGCTCTGTGGCTCTGCTGGGGGCCCTCGAAGGCCTGGTGGTACCTGTGCTGCCAATGCTCTGAGTTTAGTTTGCTTCCTGCTTAGGACTCCTTGGGCTTCTGCATTCTCCTCTCTCCTGGGGTAAGGTTGGGAAGGTAAAGTTGGGACGTAGGTGTGGACTAGGGAGGGGATGTGTGCGTGTCTAGGTCCTTTTCTCCTAAGATTGTTCTTGTCACCTCACCCTGGAACATCTTGCTGTGGGGATCAAATTGGCACAGGAGCGAAGCAACCCTTGGTCCGTGTTCCTCGTTCCTGGTACAGCAGAGGACTCACTACCTTTTGGTTTCCTGTGTCTTTGTCGTCTTGTGTCCAGGGTAGACATCTTAATAGCTGGCAGGATTTAGATTGAAGGAGCAGAAGCATGAAGAGTGATACAAGGGAAACATCAGGGCCAATTCTTGGGTAAAAGCTGCTGCCCTGATTTCCCACTTCCTTCTCACCATAAACCTCTGTATCAGCATTATTGTGCTGGAGCTTTCTTAATGGTTCAGTTTAACACATTCCGTTCCCCCCACCTGATGGAATGAGATCAACGATTTTAATTTTTAAATTAGTAATAAGTGCACCGAGTCCCCCAAGGTGCATAGAGAATGGTCAGTGTCCCTGCCATCCCGGTCCCCTCCAGTCCTGCATAGCTTGCCATTGTTATCCCAGGTTTCATGTTGAGAAGAATGCACACATAACGAAGCTGTCGTGGCTTTGTCTGGTGTGGACTGTGCTGGCAGAGTATATATCGTCGATACTTTCTTCAGTAGTTGGTGTGTTTACCCAAGCTTTGAAGTAGCAGTTCTGCCACCTGCTTGTTGAGTCACCTGAGACCCAGTTAATAAGCCACCAGAAGAAGAGTCCACAGTCATAGCGGAAGTCCATATCATGCCTGTTCTGAGATGTGTCCATTTTACGGTCGCAGCTCAATTAAGATACAGATGCTGTGGGTTCTCAAGACTCTGCCAGGGGTTGAGCTAAAGTTAGACTACCCTTGCCTCCTGTGCCATGGCTGCTGGGGAGAACAGAAAGGCAGGCAGTAAGTCCTTCTCAACTTCTCCTTGGCTTATTTCTTCCACAAAGGTTGGAACCAGAATTTAATGGGGGAGGTAGCTGTTGTTCTGTGTAGATACAGTGACACCAAACAGTAGTTCTCAGGTTACACGGCATCTTTCCTCCACTGAATGTCATATTGTGTGACATGTGAAGATGGAGACAGCCTAACTGACAACCTTTCACATCTGGTGCTAATAAACTCCACAATTACGTTCTTCCATAGCTCATTGTAAACTTTAGAAATAGTTTCTAAATTTAATCTGAATGATTTTCACAGTATTGGTGAAACTCCTGAGACTTGGGGATAAAAAGAAGTGATTTGCAGATATTTCATGGGTTGATAGACTTAGGTCCTAATTTATTAAACAGGGCTGCATAAGCCCTCTATCTGGCACTCAAACTCTTTGGCCCCTTTTCACTTTATTTTGAGGCAGAGACTTGCTAAGTTGCTCAGGCTGGCCTTGAAACTAAGCTCCTTCTGCTTCAACTTCCTGTGCAGCTAGGATTATAGGCGTGTGCCACCATGGCTGACATTTTTGTTCTTAAAATTAACTTTTTAGACTTGTGACTTCAGTTGGGAAGCAAACTACTTTGCTGTGGTTTGAATAGAATGCTGTGGAAGCAGTACTGTTGATGAACTATGCTAAGATATTTGTTAACATTTGCTGCCTTGCTCTTTAGAGTGATTGGTGGCATTGATTATGCCACCTCTTCACCAGCTCTTCTCCCCTATTTTAGACAGTCACCATTTTGGTAAATGTAAAATGATCTCATTGTGGTTCTGATTTGCATTTCTTTGTAGAAACTTACTGTTGCATATTTTTCATTTGTTTACATTTGAAAGTATATAATTTTTAAACTTAAACCAACTTAGAAAAATGATCCACTATAAGAAAAGGGGTGAGGGTGGAGAGGTGGAGAGGTGGTTCAGATGCACACTGCTCCTTCAGAGGACCGACGTCCTCTGTAACTCCAGCTCTAGGGATATCTTCTACCTCTGGCCCCTCAGGCTCCGTTCTCATGTGCACATACCCATACATACAGACATGGAATTAAAAATAAAACTGTAAGGAATAAAAAGGAGAAGAAGTAATTGAAACTGAAAGGCTCTTTGAAGTAATAGCTGTTTGAGAAGATTAGAATGCTTTATTCTGCCTTTGTTTGTTTTTTATGGTGGTGGGGATGAAACCTGAGACCTTGCACATGCTAAGCAGGTACCGTGCCACTGAGCCATATCGTCAGTACTGTATTGCTGTTGAATTTTTTAAAGTACGTAGAACAGTGTTGAATTTTTAATTACAAAAATCTCTCTGGCAAATGCTGACTGTAAGAATCATTTTATGATCTGAGTTAGGATAAATACGAGTTTATTGTTAAAAACCGATAATATTGCATGTTGGTAAAGACTGTGAGGCCCAAATGTTTCAGCTGTTGGCTCTGAAGAGATCTGTGCTCACCTCATTATGTGGTTCTTTGTAAACAATCCTAGTGCCTCGGCTTTCTAGAAAGCAGATGTAAGTCTTAGTTCCCAAGAGTACTTAATGTAGTTTATTCCCATAAGTAGAGCTGTCACTGGAATCCCACACTCATTGTCAGACCCGTTTGGGGCAAGGCAGCAGGATGATACACCTTACATGAGATCCTTGGGAAGTTGCAGGTCTTCTATTTGTGTTGTTTCTTTACACAATTAAAAAGTCAGTGTGCTATTTACCATGTTTGGCTCTTGAAACAAGGGATCTTGATGTAAGTGGTATTTTGAGATTCTGGGTGAGAGGATGAGGTAAGGTGTTAGGACAGAGAAATGACAGGGCTATTTTCTGGGCTTTGGCTTTTCCAGCATCTTATAATAACAACATACACATAACACTGCTTTAATTCTGGAGAGCTGTAAGCTTGGCGTGCTTCTTATTGTAAACATTCAGTCTCTGAGGCACACACCTGTAGTGCCTTCACTACTAATGGACCAAGTGGACTCAGGGTCAGCACTCCCAGTAGTTTCTGAGTGACTTGACTTTGATGGTAAATTATCCATACATAGTGCTTCTTAGAAAGATTTGGTATGTGTTAATGGTGCTGCTGTTGGTAATACTTTTTCCTAACAGAGCATCCTGATGGACTGTCACTAAAACCAATCAGTAAATAAATTTTATATAGTGATTAACATACAAAGTACCAATGCACTTACCTTGGGAAATTAACATAAAGTGTCCCATTCATTTTATATGTCCTTCTGATTCTGGTTCATGTGGTATAGAATGGACACCACTGTCAGCTGTGATTAGCAACCTTTGATTGTGTGTGCTAAAGTAGCTGGGAAAGTAAATATTTGAAGCAATTATTACTGTTAAATAGCAGTGAACATTGATACTGCTACTTGTGACTCTAAAACTTGGTGTCTCTCTCCCTTAATGTTTGATCACTGGTAACGAGTACAGTCATTATTAAGATGGTAGGACTTGACCCAGAAATTTCTACTCTGATAGAGACTAACACATCATCTTCTCTTCTAGAACGACTCTGCTTGTGGTGATTATATACAGAGTAATGAGGCTGGCTTAGAACAAGCCCAAATACCTCAAGGCGGACTCACCGTGGCCCCTCACAGAGCTCAGCGGGAAGGTATGCTTCAGTTGTGGTGAACTTATGGCAGGGCCTTGTTTACACTCAAGGTTTTGTTGTTTCAGTTGCTGCTGCTGGTGATGGTTGGTTGATTGGTTGGTTGGTTGAGACAGGGTCTCACATAGTCCAAGGTGGCCCCAGACTTACTATATAATAAAGCTGGCCTTGAACTTCTGATCCCTCTGCCTCCATCTCCCAAGTGCTAGGTTACAGGCCTGTGCTACCAGACCTGGTTTATGTGGTGCTCAGGAGCAAATTCAGGGCTCATACATGCCAGGTAAGCACTCCGTCAATGGAGCTGTATCACTAGCCCCGGTACTATTTAATTCTTAACTCTGTCCTTTGTAGAGAAATCCTATTTATTATTGGCCCTGGACTTTGGCCCAAAAGCAATGCTCCCAGTGTTCTACCTTCAGTGTTGTGGAGTCTCCTTTCTCTGCAGCCTTGGAATGTGCTCTCACATGTGCTGGCCTGTGTCACAGCCAATTGTCTTTTTGGCTCTCTCTTAAACCTCTGTTTTTCTGGAGGGCCAAGACTTTATCCTACTCCTTAAGTACTTAGTAAAGTGTTTCATCTACTTAACGTGGTCAGTGTCTACTAAGAGAGAGAGAGAGAGGGAGAGGGAGAGGGAGAGAGAGAGAGAATCAACAGCGTCCATAGTAAGAGGATGAAGAACTTGTTCACAAATCCATTTTCCATGCAGTTTTAAAGAGGAATGGCACATTTTCATATCCCACATTAATATGGGAATGAAAGCACATTCATCTAAAAAGAAATGAGCTTGAGTGCTCTTTTTCTTTGCATTTGGGGAGTCCATAAGCCCATACTAAGAGAAAATTTGAAACAAAATGTGGGCTGCCATGTACGTAGGTTGTAGATGAGCCAAGGATGCTTAAGACATACTCAGTCACAACTCTGAATCTGTGTCAGTATGCTTCCTTTTAGTTACAGTCTTTTTGATGTGCGGTGTTCCTGGGTAGAACTACATCTGTTTAGTTATGAAGGAATGTTTATCAAATGACCACCTCTGTTTAAGACAATCATAGTACTCCCCCAACTAAGCTTTAACCATAAACTACTTCAGTTCAGCTCACTGAACATAGAGTGACCTGATGTAGAACTTGATTTTATAATATTTTGTTCTCATAAAACAGTTGAGAAAAATGAAGACTATTTAAAATGATAGCAGTTAATTTTAAGGTGAAAATGTGTATGGTCCTTCATTTCTGTTAAAAGCATGATATGTAGTACATGCTCTGGTTTTAGTTGATGAGTGTTAAGAGAGGTGACAGCAGGTATAACTTGAAATCCAAGATGAAGCTAAAGCCACGTTGCCATCGAGGAGCAGCGTCATGCCCCCTCCACTTAACAGTGAACACTAAGGGCTCGGAACGTAAATGGCTCAGTTGATAGAGTGTTTTGCAAGCATGAGGACTTGGAAATCTGATCCCTAGCACCCATGCAAAAAGCAAGGTACAGCCTGTGATTCTCGTCCTGGGAGATGAAGACAGAGGGTCCCTGGAGCTGGCTGACCATTGAGACACTTAGCTGAATCAGTGAGCTCCAGGTTCAGTAAAATAACATTTCAAACTGAGGTGGACAATGATTAACAAAGACACCCCACATTGACCTCTGCCCTACACACACACAGACACACAGACAGACAGAAAGCCAAGAGCCCAATGGTTTGCAGAAATGGAACCACACACGCCTCTGTTCTTGTATTGTTTCTTCTTTTTTTGAAACAGCATACTAAATGACCCAAGCTGGCCTTGTCCACAGTCCACATGCCTTCACCTATGCTGTTCTGGGATCAAACAAACCCAGGACTTAGTACTTTCTAGACAGGCACTCTGCCAGGGCAGCTCCATCCACAGCCCTGGCTGCTCTGTTTCTCAACACAGATTAGTTCAGGAAGGTTTTATTTTCTTCATCCTTTATGTGATTTCATACGGCAGTTTTTGGAAATACGGACCTTTTAATCCCTCTTCGGTCATTGTAACATGACACAGGCCTGAGAGTTACCATCTGGTATTTGAGAATTTTTCCCTCCCTTCACCCTCAATATTTCTGAAGCACAAGGGAGAGGCTGGCCTGAAGCAGGCCATCAGATCGTAGGTTTTGAACGTTGGACAGAGTGCTGTTCCTACTCTCCCTGCTCATCCTAAATGCATTCCCTGCTGCTGCGTGTCTGTTTTGTGCCGCTTGCTCTCTGCTTGCTCACCTTCCGTGGTGTGTGACAGTCTGATTCTCACTCCTGTGCTCTTGCTACTTACACCTCTTCTAAAGCACAGCGAACTACCCTGTCCTTTTGTCATCCTTCCCCTGAATCCGTCAGTGACCCCGCCCCACCCCACCCCCAGTGCATCCTTTCCCAACCTCTTCTGCCACCATTACCAAGTTCATTCTTGTCAGCTTTGATGTTGCAGCCTCAGCATCAGGTAAGTATTGTTTCCCTGGTCTGTCTGTTGTCTTCGAGTCTGTGTGGTGTACTTTGTCGAGTGGCCTTTTTAGATCACACCCCATTTGTTTTCTTTTCTATGGTGACAGTTTACTGAAGGAGCTATAAAGTGAGTGGCTGGGAGGTTGCATGGTTACTGAGTTTGTGAATAGACTGTTTATTTTCATGTTCACTGTCACCTGTGTCCACTGTTCCATCTCTGTAGTAACTTCCTGTTCCTTACAGTGCTCAGTTTATAGTACATTTTACCAGTTCCAGGATATACAAAATCCCTTCTGGCCTCTCTGGGCAACAGGCATGCTTATGGTACACATACATATATGCAGGCAAAACACTTACACAAATAAAAAATAAGAAACTAGATATTTTCTAATTTTTCCTATAAATAATTGAATAAGCCAGACATATTTAGTTGATCGCAAGTACTGTATTGTGATAATCTGAATAAGAATTTTCATTATTACCCTTTAGAGAAAAATCTTCAGTGAAATGTCTCTGGGTGTTTGTTTGTTTTTGTTGTTGACTGTTTGACATTCTTGGGCATTTGTGTCTTAACATACATAGGAAATGTCCACTCATGGATATGTGGCAGATTGGTGTGTATCTGTTTGTTTTGTGAGTTGAGGCCAGTTGTGAAGCTTAAGTAAGCAGCTTGATTTCTAGCCTTTGTCAAGTTACAGGATTACTTTACGTAACTAAATATGTGTGTGATCTCTAACACAGTCAGAATGTGTGTGTTTTTTTTTTTCTTTCAGCTGTACACATTGAGAAGATAATGTTGAAAGGAGTCCAGAGAAAAAGGGCTGACAAATATTGGGAGTACACTTTCAAAGTAAGCTATGCTCACCCCCAAAAGAAGTTAGAAGAACTAACTGCTAGCCGATTTATGACTTTAAAGACAAAAGATAGGCAGGCAGGCAGATAGATATGGTAATTTTTAAAAATAAGAACCTTAGACTTGGGGAGGACTATTAAAGGTGTAAGGTGTATCTTTAAAAAGTAAAAGCAAATATTTTCACAAGTATTTACAGATCACTGCCCTGGCATCACCGCCCCGCTTCCCTGTTCCTCGTGGAGTTTCTCATCCCTGCTTTGTGGCTTTGTCATCTTGTTGGCTGTGAACCCCGGGTCCGGTCAGATTCTGTTACTGCCAGGGTCAGACTTTCCACCTGCTTCCCTCTGGGCTGCAGCTTCACTGTGGAGCCTTCTGAGATTCAGCTCCATGGAGTGAAGCCAGGGTTCTCTGCAATTTCTTCACTCAGGTCTTCCCACAGACACTGCTTTCCACGTTCTGGCTGTCCCTCTTTCCTGAAGACTCTTCTAGTCCTCTGGTAGAAGGTTTTCTCTTTCCTCTGCAGACTGCTACCACTACAGCTCCTACCCATCCTTGAGTAGATCATCTTCTGGAAGCACTCATCCTCATCTCCTGCCATCCTGCAGTGTCTGCCTTGCTCAGTACATTGTTGAATGGATTTTAAAACTTTAACTTCTACTTTGAAGGAGAAAAATCCTTGACTTTGTGGTTTCCATTTCCAATTTCCATTTGTGTCACTTTTGGCATATTTGGCTCTTTGCCCTTGAAACTCTGCATGCTGGCTTCTCCTTTAGTTGTTGGAGTGCACAGCTTTTCTGTAAGACTTTTCTCCTTACCCTGGACCAAAGCACAGCTAACATCTGGCTCAAATGCTCCCTCTCTAGAGAGCCTTCTTAACACCCAACTACTCATGTTCAGGCCCAAGTCCCAGTCTTTGAAGTAATGGTGACTGGTAGAAACTCTTGCATGTTTGCTGGGCTTTATGTGACTCTGACATGAAACTGAACTCAGACTCAGCTGTCATGTCTACCCTGGTACCTACCTATCCATGTAGGTGATCATCATTTAAGAAATGTACCAGCCAATAAACAGGGTTGCTAGGTGGAATTTTGTATGCATTATCTAATTGTGATATGATTAGTGATACGACTTAGATATTAGCATATCTCAGGTAGTTGCTTAAGTCAAACAGTTGTACAGTAGAAATTAAAGCCCACAGAATTCTTAGTGTCTAGGAGCCAGCACAGCTGAGCCCAGTCTTAGATCCTGTGTTCATTCAGGATCACACTTAGCTCATTTTCTCCATCTGAAAATGGAGGTAATCAGACTTGATAAAGCATCTTGCTAGGATTTAAAACATCTGGAATCAAAGTGATATCTTTTCAGAAGATAAATCTCCATCAACTGTAAGATGGTACAGTCTGCATTGACTGTTTCTCCTGGAAGTGTACATTAGTGAGCATCAGGGACAGGATTTTATCTTTTGGCTTTACCCTGTCATTGTATCATTTTTGTACTTAACCAGAAAAACAAAACGTTCCTGAAAGTTACTAAATATAGTTACGTTTTAACACTGCTTTTTTAAAAGTGCAATTTAAAAGAAACTATTGGAAAACTTTTTTCAGTAGAATGTCAGTGTACATTTATAGAAGCTGTGATAATGCTGGATGAACTTTATATTTCTAATTGCTGATCTTAAAATTTTAAGTAAGGCCTTTTATTTTACACATGGCTTTTTCCCTAGCCAGTTCCTGCCTAAGCAATAACCATAAAATATGTGTGTTTTCTTAAATCAGGTAAATTGGTCTGACCTTTCAGTCACAACAGTAACAAAAACCTACCAAGAGCTACAGGAATTTCTACTGAAGGTAAAATTATAGATTTTGTTGTTAAGATTTGTATATGATATAAAGATTCCTAAAATTTCAGTGTCAAAGGAATCAGCAAGAAATGAAAACACACTTAGGTTGACTCCAAACTGAAAGAATGTGAGTTGTAGAAAATGTTACATTGTGTATCTCCTACCTTACTTTGCCAGCATAAATGGCAAAGGGATTCACTTGAGGAAATGGGTCCCCATCCCTAGCTCCCTGCAGAGATGTTTCTTCTTAAGGTAGGGGCTCTTCCCCTGAGACAGTTGTCTGCAGTGCGACTTATGAGGCTTATTTCCTGCGGTACCTAACAACTGTGTGAAGCTCTCCATCTGTGGGCTTTTCTTAAATCTTGTTCCTTTTCTTCCTTGGAGTCTGTCCTTCTCCCAACCCATCCAGAACAAGAGATAATGATGGAATTGTCTCCTGCAGATGTGTTTTGTGCACATCCTTACCTGTTCCATTGAATAAAGTCTTCTAATTAGATTTAATTGAAAAATGAAAGAAACAGTAAAAGGGGAACTAGGTCTGTGTAATCAATAAATGACTATTGCTCAGTAAGCAAATACTTTACAGTTTGTTAACAGGGAGATAAAACTGAAAAATCCAGAAACAGGAAATAGTCCTAACTCAGTTACCAAGTTTTATGTGAGAGTGTCATTACTGAACTGATAGCACCTGACACTTGAGGATTTTGCTGGGTTTCACACTGTGTGCTTGTCACTCTGTGTGTCTTCTGTTCAGATCATGTGTGTGACTTGGTTCTTAACTCTGCAAGGGACTGATTTTTCACCAGTCTGAGGGCTTTGAGCAGAATGCTGGTGACTGATTGTCTGATGCACTGTCAAAATGTTAGTTTGCTGGATTTGTTAGTGTGTCTAGATTAAGTCAGTTGAATAGTTTCTTTTTCCTGTGGCTTATTTTAATCTGAATTTTCTCTCTTTTTTTCCTCCCCTGTTATTAAAAATAGATTTTTGGGGGGCTGGGCAGCAGTGACGCACTCCTTTAATCCCAGCACTTCAGAGGCAGAGGCAAGCAGATCTCTGTGAGTTCGAGGTCAGGCTGGTCTACAGAGAGAGATCCAGGACAGGCATCAAAACTACACGGAGAAACCCTGTCTCAAAAAACAAACAAACAAACAAACAAAAGATTTTTTTTGCCCTCATACTATATAACCAGATTAGTTTCCCTTCCCTCCATTTGCTACAGTTCCTCCCCACCTCCCCTTCCATCCAGATCCACTCCTTTCTGTCTCTCATTAGAAAAGAACAGGCTTCTAAGAGATAACAACCGAACATAACAAAATAAAATAAAATAAAATAAAAGCCATCACATTGAAGTTGGATAAGGTGAACCAACAGAAGGAGTGTCCAAGAGAAGGCAGGAGAATCAGAGATCCGTTGTTCACACTCGGGAATCCCGTAGACACCCTAAAGGGAAAGCTGTGACATATCTGCAGAAGACCTGGTGCGGACTGTGTTGGCCTGTGTGTGCTGCTTCATCTCTGAGTTCATGTGAGCCTTGCTCGCCTGTGTCCTCTGCCCACTCTGGCTCTTAAATTTTTTTCTATCTCCTCTTCTGTGAGGTTCCCCGAACCCAGAGGAGAGGGATTAGATAGAGAAATTCCATTTAGAACTGTGTATTCCAAGATCTCTGTGCATAATGTCTGGTTGTGGGTATTAGTTCCCATCTGCTAAAGGAGGAAGCTTTTGTGATGCTGAGTGTGTAAGGCACTCATCTATGAGTATAGCAGAATGCCCTTAGAAGTCGTTTTGTTGGTGTGTGTTTGTTTCTTGTTTTTGTTTGTTTATATGTTTGTTTGTTTTGACCAGTAGTACTTAGTTTTATGTAGGTTTCTGGGTTCCCTCAGTTAATGGCTGAGAACTCCCTGACCCATTCAAGTTACTGATGGCATGTAAAGATGGGGTGAGCGTCATTCATTGCCAGTCACGGGTCTGTGTCCCTCCTCTGACTTATCAGTCCTACACAGTTTGGTGGGAGAGAAGCCTGTGATAGAAGGGTGGGCATTCTGACCACTGGCCTCTTCCTGCCATACGTAGGGGAACAGTCAGAAAGGTGTCAGGGAAGCGAATGGCCGTGGCCCTGCTGGGTGCTGAGAGCCGGCAGCAGGGAGAGGAGCGGCTGGCTGGCTTCCGATGACTAAGCAGAGGACTTGGGTTGGCCTGCTTTCCTTTGCATACATCTGTGAACCTCTTCTGCTTATCGCTAGCTCTCTTGTGTCTTGATAGGATACATTTACCAGGGTTTAATGTAAGTTAAATAAGCAATTATGAGCAGCCACCAGTTGGATTTGGCAACAGGATGCTCTTGTTTCCTTCTGTCTTCTGTTTTCTTCTTCAGTGGCACAACTCCAGTGCTGGAGAGTGAGCTCCACGGGACACAGAGCCGGGGCTAGAGACACTGCCACCTATCAAGGCCAGGTTACTTGATGCCAGCTTGTGTGTGAGGTTGACACCTCTCTATGTCTCTTCCTGCAAGAGTTCAGTGAGCAGCGCAGCCCCTCTGCCAGGCTGTGGCCTGGCTTCTGGCAGTCTCCTTTCTCCTGTGTCTCCCCAAGCTTCAGCAGTGGTGTGTTTTGACAGATTACATTTCTTCTGTCACATAGTTTTCCTAAAAGCTAAGTGCTTAACAACAACAAAACCCCCAAATGCCTAATTCATTCTTCAGGGTTGTGATAAGTAATCCCTCTGCTTAGCCAGCATTTCTTAAAGCGCTTTTCTTAAATGTATGAACACTACTCTTACCCGGGATAATCTTCACTGTCTTTATAGAAATGAATTGCCATTCATATAGTCACATATTGTCAGATAATCTTCAAGTTGCCTGCTCCCGTCTTCAGCATTGTAGAAATCCAGAGCGGAACCTGTCCTCCTGAGCCCCTGGGTAGTGTACTGTGAAGGGGTGTGCTGACTGTTGAGCTGCGCTGGTTTCCAGAGTTTCCAGTTGCTGAGTTCTCTCTTTGGGAAACAGCAGCTTCTGCCCTCCGTGTCCTGGCCCCTTCCGGTTTTGTTTTTCATATTACCACAGTAGCTCAGTTTTTATTTCTTCCTTTGCTGTCTTATCCACAGTTTCTGAGAACAGAGTAGGAGTTTGGATGCTTGCTAACTAGAGTGAGTGGGATGTACTGTGCATTGGAGGGAGGTTTTATAATGACTGCACAGGAACAGTTGTAGACAAACTGCAGTGCTTGAGGAGTATCAAAACTCACTGTCCTGGCATTAGAATGGACCAGCTGCTGGTGCACATGCAGTGTTTTCCTCAGCTGTACAGCAGTTCCCGGATTGAGGCGACTCATCACACTGGGCCCAGCCCTGTCCAACGAGGGAGGAAACCACTCCGTGGCATCTGGAGTCTACTTGAGCGACCCCTGAGCTGAAGAATAGGATTGGCAAGGCTGCACTGGATCTAACCAACCAACTGTGTGGCTTAGAAACCAAATCAGAAGCCTGTGGTTCAGCTGACAGTGTTGCCCTCAGCCCAAGGTCTCTCCTCCAAATTTTGAAAGGTGGCAACCTGGCTTTCAGTTCAAGGTCTTGACATTACAGTTGTAGGCTATTAAAGTGTGTAGGCGATGGATCAGTAGGAAAGACAGGTTTGGCATTTATAGCACAGTTAAGTTGAATGGCCCCTTTTCAGAGTAAAGGACTTCTTCAGTGAGGGCCGGCCTTATGGTGCACCTCTTCATGAAGTCAGGGAAGAGATACAGGCTTGCGTTAATATGGAGATAAGACTGGTCAGCTTAGGTTGTTGTGTTGAAGATCCTTGGATGCCAGAGTCACGATGAGCTAGTTCCCCGCAAAGCTGCTAATACACAGGAGAGGACAGCGGATCATACTCAGAAAGACTGTCAGTTGATGGGTGACCTGCCTGTGATGTCAGTGATGGTCTTGAGGCTTCTAATCAAAAGATGTGTGTTGACCAAGAAAATTGTCATCAAGATTAGATCTAAAGGCACAAAATGGGACATTAAGATGGTTGCAAATAAGGACACTTCTTTCCCACTTGTACCTCTGACCCTTTTAGGAGACTCTTTGAGGTGAAGGCTGCAACTCCCTAATGTGAGTCAACCATTTATTCTTGCTAACTTTGTTAACAAGAATAATCAAATAATGATAAATGGCTGCACATTATGCTTTGGCATTTTCAAAGATAAATTTGTATCTAGATACAAAACCTTTCATTACTCTGAGATTGTGCAGAGGCCAGTGCAGGACTAGATCTGTTAAAAACTAAGATATAAAGAGGAGAAAAATCCAATATAAAATAGAATATAAAAGACACACTTTAAGCCGGGCGGTGGTGGCGCACGCCTTTAATCCCAGCACTCGGGAGGCAGAGGCAGGCGGATCTCTGTGAGTTCGAGGCCAGCCTGGGCTACCAAGTGAGATCCAGGAAAGGCGCAAAGCTACACAAGAGAAACCCTGTCTCGGAAAACCAAAAAAAAAAAAAAAAAAAAAACACACTTTAATGCCTTATTTTTAACAAACTTCCCTTCCAACTGAGTGGGCCCTGGAAAAAAAGACAAAAGCAACATGAAAATAAAGTAGATTGCGTACTAATGACAGCCTGTCCATTACTCAGTCCAGTAATGTGAACATTGTCGTTAACTCAGAGGCACTTTGCATGATAGAATCCTCAGCTGAAGTAGATTTCTCTGCCACGGCTTATCTTCTCTGTCAGTGTACTGGGGAGATAGTTTTCTTATAGATGCATTTGCCACATAAGCAAGGACACCCATGCAAAAGCTGAGTGTAGTCAACCATGTCTGTGGCCCTAGTATTGGAGTGTTGAAGGACAGGTGAACACTCTGAGATCACTGGCCACACAGTCTAGCTAATTGGCGAACTCTGGATTCAGTGAGAGAGACCCTGTCTCAAAAGATGAGGTGGGAAGCAATAGTGGAAGACACAACTTGTGGCGTCCCTGTGTGTACACACACTTACATACATACATGTTCATACACTGTGCACACTAAGTAAAGAACATTTTTTACTAATGTTCCAAATTTGTTATAAATACCTACTGTCAAAAATCTCTATTAGTATGCTAAGGTCAAAGTGTCAATTTTGAAATTAATAGTGTTTCTTTATTTGGAAAATGTGTCAATTCAGAATTTGTTTCTTCAGGCTGGTGGCTGGAGGACATGATTTCCATAGTAGGGTGTAGATGCTGTTGGTTTTGTGATTTCCCCACAGTGGTTAGCAGACGTTGTCCAAACATCCCAGGGCCCTAGTCACTGTGCCCAACCTCAGTACCGCCACCTTTGCCCTCCCTGTGGCTCTGTTTGAGCACTGTGTTACCTAGAAGAATGTTTACTTTGTAAACCAAGTTCTGCAGATTCATTGTCTCTGCCTCCTTAGGTCATCACTCTACTCTTCCTTCAGTTGTCTTGATTCTAGTGGAAGTGACAGTGGTTCAGAAGTTGATCACGAAAACTAAAACTGAGTTCTTGACAAACTTAGAAAATTAGTTTTAGAACTCAGTTTCTAGGAATATTTTTAGTTAAACAAATTAAATAATGTGATAAGTGTTTGGTTTCATTTAAATATTTTTCTTGGTCAAATGGTACTTTCTTACAGAGTCTAGCACAGCTGATTATTGGACACGTCCGCCATGTTTTTTTGTTCGCTTTTTATAATTATGGGTGTGGGTTGTGCAGTGTCTGGTACATGGATAGGTCAGAGGACAGCATGGAAGTCACTTCTCCCCATCCACTTCACCTGGGTTCTAGGGATTGAACTCAAGTCTTTACACTGGAGCAACAAATAAACACTTTACCTGCTGAACCACCACGAGCTCTGATGGGTGTTTTTGATGTCAGTAAAATTGCAGGAATTTGACCCAGCTTTCGTAACTTTGTTCTTTATTTGGCATGTAGCATTTAATTGTCCAACATTGCCTGAGATTAAAGTGTGAGAAGCAGGAAGCACAAAACTGGTAACTGTAGAGGCAGAGATAACACTTTTCAGAATAGTGCTCCAGGGTTAAAGTGCCAGCTGTACTGTGCGGAATGCTTGGTTAGCCAGCAGCTGTGTGGATCTCCCCCGATGGGGGAGAGGGCCTTGAGTGTGAGGTCCACCTGCTGCACACTGAAGGCATGCTGTGCACCTGGGGAAGCCCATGAGGTCTGCTTCCTGTAGAGTAGACTTCTGCCACTTCAGCCTGATGCCTTGGAAAGAGTGCTTTGGGATGGCTAATGAGGAGAAGGCATTTCTTTTGAAGTTTATTTATGTTTGTTCATATATTTAAGTGAAGAACTCAGCATTGGATATTGTGTTTTTCTCTTGTAGCTTCCAAAGGAATTGTCTTCTGAGACTTTTGACAAGACCATCTTAAGAGCCCTGAATCAGGGTTCTTTAAAAAGGGAAGAGCGGCGGCACCCTGACCTGGAGCCCATCCTAAGGTAACAGCCACCAGCCTCTGGCCACCAGTGCTTAGGACAGGCTGTTGAGGGAGCTCAGAGACCCTTCCTCTGGATAGGCCTGGGCTCAAAGTTGAAGGTAGCAACCCTGTTTGTTACTGTATTCTTTCTTTCTCTAACAGCACAAGTTTGATTCTTTTAACCTGAAGAATTGTGAGTTAAACCTCTTCGATTTTTGTTGTTGTTTTTCCATAAACTTTTATTAAAGATGTCCTTGTCTGGTAGCTAGGCTTGGGAGAGACTGAGTAGTCTGGGGAGTGGAAGGAAGTGACCTTCCCCAGCACGTGTTCCCTGCCATTGCCTTCTTGGAACCCAGTGCTGGTTAAGGTCAGGTCTTTACTCTTGTGAAGCTGCTGCACCGTTGGAAATTTATGTGTCGCCTAGATGAAGGTTAAATATGGTGGCTGGTGTGTTTAAACCCTCCCTGTGTTCACTCCCAGAGCCGTGTCCCAAGGGTTAGGGTCCTCCCCTCCCCCACAACTGCACAGGTGCAGGTACAAACAAGTTCACGTGTTTTATGATGGGAGTTTGAACGGTGTCGTACATTGGCATACAAGGTTTGCTTAGGAGTGGGGAGACTGGAGGATCAAGTGCTGGAGAGGAAAGGGGACTTGCGATTCTGTAGGCAGAACGTGGTGGCCCACACCTTTACTCCCAGAACTTGGACACATGGATCTCTGAATTCGAGGGGAGCTTTGTCTACTTAGAGAATTTGAGGCCAGCCAAGGCTACATAGTAAGACCTAGTCTTTAACACAAAACAAAAAAATGCACCATGTATAAAAGCTAAGAGAATATCTGAGTGAAGGAAACTGAGAAGCTATGCGGGAATGGGGATGACCTGAAGGTCAAGTAAGTAGGTTTGTAATGACATCAGCTTCCCTGTTGTATTCATGAGAAGACATCTTTTCAGCAATTCCAGTCTAAGTATAAAGAAAGTGGATGGTTGCATTTGTCCTAAATGGAGGCTTTCCTAGGTAGAACAGTAGCACAAGGCAAGTGATTTTAGGACAGTAGTTCAGTTTTGGAAAAGTGAGCATTCAAGTCTGAGCTGAACTGAGAAGAGTGGAGTAAGGGAATCGGTTATGTGGAACATACAGTGCTGAGAATGTGCTCCAGGTCATAGAGCACAAAGAATCACATCGGGTGTCGGCATGGGATGTCTGCGACATCGTCCTGGAGTGGAGCAGTTGCTTACATGCTGGGGGTTAGAGCGTGGTCGTGACAGTTACCAGCTTACCCCCCAAAGAGGGGGAAGGCAAGAGTGCTTGCTCCCCAATAGAGATAGCCAAGAATCTGGATGGGACCTATTGCCATTGAATCACGAAATCCAAAGTGTGACTGGGAGAAAATGACTGGGAAGAGATGGATCCCAGAGTGATTACCCTTGCAGACACCCACGTCATTACCAAGTGATCCATGACTTAGGGTAGGAGAGAAACTGAGGCTGGTTCCGAAACTGAATGTGAATGTGGAAGGTGGATCTAAAAGTTGGCAGGTGACTTAATGGCTGTAGACTGGGTAAAATGGAGAAGGAGAGGTTGATTGGCAGGTTGAGGGCTTAGAGGCACATGAGTACACCTTCCACCAGGACAGCTGTGAAGAAAGCTACAGCCTTGAGTTTAAGAATAAAGACATACAATCTCTACAGCTAATTTGTGAAGTCTCAGATGACACCGTGGAAAGGTTTAACAGGTGGATAATTGAATTCTTTTTTTTTTTAAGATTTATTTATTATGTATACAGTGTGTTCCACTTGTATGTATCCCTGCACATCAGAAGAGGGCACCAGATCTCATTACAGATGGTTGCGAGCCACCATGTGGTTGCTGGGAATTGAACTCAGGACCTCTGGAAGAGCAGCCAATGCTCTTCACCTCTGAGCCATCTCTCCAGCCCCTGATAATTGAATTCTTGAGTGCCTGTGTTTTCAGACTTCAGAGGGCTTGTATACTTCTGGGGGACCTTGTGAAAGTGTGGGTCCTTATTCTCCAGTACTGGGGGGTGGGCAGAGGACTCTGATTCCTGCAAGCTCCAGGAGGTGCTGATGGTTCACAGAAGGCCTCTGCAGCTGATACAGTACTCAGAGCCCTGCTTCCAGCTGAACTGTGGGGCTAGGGTGTATCTAGTGGTGTGGGCCTAGGGCCTGCCTGGGACTGAGCATGGACCAGCCAGATGACAGCCTCTAGTGTATGAATGGTGACAGAATATGACCCTTAAATGGACCGCAAGGTCGGTGTGCACTGGTCCCTGTCTGTCTTGGTTTCAGTATGTACTTGGGACCTTGCTAGACCATCTATACTAACTAGTAGTGAACAGAAGCTCCACTGTTTTGCTTCTCAGTGGAGAGAGATGCAGCTTCATAATCTCAATTTGGTATGTCTTAATGCATAGTGCTCAATGTACAATGACTTTCTCCTTGGATAGTCTTGTGGTTTATGATAAATCTACCAGGTACTCAATAAAGACCATGAGGAAATTCAGAAGAGAAAGAAAAAGATCCCTCTTGCCCAGATAATTTTTGTTGGCCTTTTAATTTATTCTTTGCCCTTTAATTAAGATCTGCAGTTAAGTTACTTCTCAAATTAAAATTATTTAGTTCTGAAAAATGTTTTTGTTTTGTTTTGTGACAGTCATACAGTGTAATCCTGGCTGGCCTGAAACTTACTGTGTAGACCAGTGCGGCCATCGGACGCTAGCTGGTGCTCTTCTAGTACCAAGGCTGTATGTGGCACCAGCACATCCATCTTTACACCATTTTGAGGGGCTGTAAAGTCTATCCCATCTGCCTTGTAACCCAGTGTTTGTACCTAAAACATTCCCAGATTTATGGCTAATTGCTGGGGAGAGGTGATTTGAAGTTGGCTTACTTTCTAAGATAGTAAGATCATCATGTTCAGAGCAGTACCTGCTCAAAGCAGGGCATTCCATAGCTGGGCAAGCTTTGAGCCCCATTTTTAAGAACTGGCTGGTTTCATAGATGGGTAATTGTCTCATGGCTTAGGTTTGCTTTCATTCTATCTTCCTATAAGGCTAGCAGTTTTTGTTTCTTTTTTATGGAATCATGAATTTTAAATCTATATATCTGCTTAGATTTTTGTGACTTTCTTAGCTCTTAATGAAACAGGAATTAACAGTGACAATTTGTCTTTGTGTTATTTAGCTGTGATGGTTAAAATGAAATTTCAGATGCTAGGTATATCAGTCTGTTTTTGTGTCTCATTTATCTCTTTTAAGATTGGAAGATAATTTCCAGGTTGTTGGTTAACTGTCAGGGATAGCTCAGTAGCCATGTAGGAAAAAGGACATTTGGAATGTTATGTCATTTCTTACTTCAAAGTTAATTATAAAAGCTGGACATGGATGGTATACACCTATAGTCCTCAGCACTGGGACCCTGAGACGGGAAGATTACTTGAGCTCAGGAGTTCAACACGAGATCCTATCTCCAAAAAGTACTTAGAATGGTTTTTTGTTGTTGTTTTGTTTCTTAATTAACTTCTACGAGTCGGACATTGAAAACAGAATCTAAATAAGCAGAAGCAAGAGGAGCCCGGCCCAGCAGCATGGACCTGCAGTCACCCAGGCTAGCATGAGCTACAAGAGTTCAGGGCACTTCTGGACTGTTATTGAGATCTTGTCTCAAAATAAGGATTAGCAAGAATAGCCAAGCAGCTGTGGCGTACGCCTTTAATCCCAGCACTCGGGAGGCAGAGCCAGGCGGATCTCTGTGAGTTCAAGGCCAGCCTGGTCTACAGAGTGAGTTCCAGGAAAGGCACCAAAACTACACAGGGAAACCCTGTCTCAAAAAAGAATTAGGAAAAGTAAGTAAATAGAGGGCAGGGGACAGCCTTTGGCCGATTCTTCCCTGACTGAGGCTGCAGGTCCGGTTCCCAGCCCTCCTGCAGGACCCTTGTTTGCTAAGGTAAATTAGAGTCAGGTGTGGTGCAGACTCACCATGCCTTGTGATGTGGCGGTAACCCGTCACTGCTCCCTGTCTTCCAGCATCCCTAACATCCCAGGTTTCCCAGCCTCTCCTCAGAATGTGAGGAGGTCCCTTGATAGAACAGCCAGATGATGAGCAGTAGCATGCATGAGGAAGAGGGAGGCTTGGCAGGCCTTTTTCTGAGTAGAAAGGTAGCTTTTGGGCCATCTAAGCAAACAGCTGAAATAAAACTTTTGTTTGGGTGGGGTTGGGGTCAGGTTGAAACTTCCCCATAAAAAATAAATCTTTTTAGTAGATTCTTACAAATAGGTTTTGTTAAAGTTTCCTCATTCCTATGGAAATACATCAGAAAATAATGCTTTCTTTGGGGGAAGGTTTGGCTTACTACCCCCCAAATCCCCCATATATACTGGTGCTTGACCACCCCCCCACCCCCACATACACGCGCACACACGCGCGCGCACACACACATGTGCACACACACACACACACACACACACACACACACACACGCACACACCCTCATACATGAACACGCGCGCACACTGCTTGAATGCAGCGGTCATTAAGCTGGCTTTGTAACCTGAAGGAGACTACAGATATGTACACGGAAGTTCATGTAACTCTTCTTCTTACACAGGCAGCTATTTTCAACTTCATCCCAGGCTTTTCTTCAGAGTCAGAAAGTACGCAGCTTTTTCCGGTCAATGTCCTCGGAGTCTCAGCACAGCCTCAGTAAGTGCCCTCTGTTCTTCCGTGGAGATCTGGGAAGTGTTTCTGTGTGTTTTGTGTTTCGTTTTTTTACGGGGTTTGTTTGCTTGGTGTTTGTGTCTTACTGTGCCATCTTGTCGTTCAGACTTGAAGAATTTTAGTTAAAAGTTGAGGAATAGAGACATGCAGTTAAGAAATGTTGGGCCTCTTTAGTGAACTTCACACTGCACCATTAAATATGGTGCAGCGGGGCCATAGAACCACCAGACTGACCACCAGGACAGTCGGCCCTTCAGTTCCCTGGCAGAGCTTCAGTTCTGGCTGCAGAGCTGCTGGCTGCACTGGTGCGCAGTGTTCCCTCCTCCTCTGTGCTGTCCGGCGCTGGCACTTCAGACCCTTAGCCTTGCCCCTCTCATGTACCTCTGGATAGTCAACATTTAAAGACCAGCCCGTGCTAGACGGCGTATGCTGTCCTTTCTTGTCCCTTCCCCACCATTCTGTTGTTTTCAGGTAGGTTTTGTTTTGTTCAAGAACTGCTACTTAAAAAACACTGCTGGACAGCACTTGGGAGGCAGAGGCAGGCGGATCTCTGTGAGTTCGAGGCCAGCCTGGGCTACCAAGTGAGTTCCAGGAAAGGTGCAAAGCTACACAAGAGAAACCCTGTCTCAAACAACAACAACAACAAAAAAAAAAAAACCCAAAAAACAAAAACAAACACTGCTGGATGGTGGTGGCACACGTCTTTAATCCCAGCACTCAGGAGGCAGAGGCAGGTGGAGCTCTGTGAGTTTGAGGCCAGCCTGGGCTACAGAGCGAGATCCAGGACAGGCTCTAAAGCTACACAGAGAAACCCTGTCTGGAACCCCCCCCCAAAAAAAAAAAAAAAAAACAGAAAAACAGAAAAAACCACAACCCACTGCTGTTCACATAAAAGCTGCCTTATCTCAGGACTATTCTGGGGATAAGTTGTATTTGTTAATTCTGTGATTAAAAACTAAAATTGGTAAGAAACCCAGTTGTTAGTGAAAGTCTTTGAGCTTCCCTTGGCCCCTTAGGCTGTAGCTGCTTGAAAGCCCAGCTCTCTGTAAAGCCTTCGGCTTACTGGTGTGGTGTCTGTCCATCGCTGTCCCTGCACTGCCCGTACACCCACGGCTGTGGAGTACAGACGAAACGTCACCTCTTCGGGAAGTTTCCGCCTTGCCTCTATGTGTTGTTTTGCTTTCCTGTTGCAGTGTTCATCAATCCTGTCTTGTGTTCAGTTTTCTACAAATTCTCCTCAGCCTGACTTTTAAACAGATATTTTGCCAGTAATGCTGATATGTCCCATAAATATTTTCTACTCACTTTAAGCACAGCCAGTATTTTGAGGAACACTTTTTCTTTAAATCTTTCCTTTTGTTTTCAGTTGTCATTTTCCTATACCTAAAGGAAAAAGAAAATGCATGCCTCCTCAGTTTTAGAGATGAAAAGTGTGACTAATTATTAAACAGTGTGTTAACTTTCAAAGTTCCACTGGCTGCTGGAGCAGCGCATGTGTGTGCATGTGTGTGCCTTAAATGCTTGGGACCTACTTAGCAATGAGGATCAAAAGTCTAATTCTGTGACTGAAATAAGATGGACAACTATGTGGCTCCATGGCTGAATTTATGTCTGAATAGTGACAGTGCTTTTTAAAGTCATGGTAATTCTAGAGCTCTGTAGACTTAACAGTCAACACTACTCCCCCCAAGTCAAAGTGTGAGATTTTTTTTTAATAGTCTCTTATCAATAGCACCTGGTTCATTCTAAAAAGGCATTGAAACAAAGTTAAGCTTCTAACCCAGATTATCACCCTGCCCAGGAAAGCTACCCACATGGGAAGTATGCATATACATAAGGCAAAGTCTCTTGAGGCTTGGCAAGGTTTTAAATTCATGAGCAATGCTAAGGAGCCTGGCAGATTTTGTCTGAAGATGAACATGTAAAATACTGTTGAATGTATTCATCTTGGATTGTGGGAAACTTGTCAGCAGTCAATACGTGTGTGAGTTGTTTTGCTGAAGAACAACACAGTGTTGTCAGGGTTCATTTGCACACCTTAAAAAAAAACTTCCACCTTTGTTACCCTGGGGAAGAGAACAGTGTCCCATATGCTGATAGATAACTATTGAGCAAACAGTATTCCACACTTCAGTGACTTAAGTCTTCCTTGTCTGGGATCCAATGCTGTTAGAATGTGTCCCGTGGGTCAGGGCTGACCCACAATCATTGCTCTGTAACAAAACAGAAATTTGGGGTGTTGTAGCAGTTCAGTATCACCACAGTGTTGTTACGGGGTTTTAAAAGTGAGTGTACAACAAACTGGAAGTCTTAAAAAGTTTAGACAGTAGGTAGCAGAGGCACACTCTCCATTTGTTCCTCTGGTGAGTGAGCGTCCTGGGACTGACAGGTGTGGGTGGCTTGCTCCAGCCAAGTGGAGCCTCAGGGAGCAGCTTGCTCCAGGACTCCGACAGACCTGTGCACTCTTGAAGGAAGGTTTTCCTCCAGTGACCCTTCGCTCTCCTCTTCTTGGGGCAGAGGGATAGTCATTATACTTACTTTCTTTATCTCACCATTATAATTTTCCCAGAGTTAGTAGTATTGAATTATTTCCTGCAGATAACTTACAGTCCTCTCTGAAGACTTCTAAGATATTAGAACACTTAAAAGAAGACAGCTCAGAAGCTTCAAGTCAAGAAGAAGGTAATCGTAGCCTCACTAGACTAAGTCTGCACACACTGACACGGCGTCAGAAGAGAGTCCAGAGCTCAGTCTCAGACAGGGCCTGGGGTGTCTTAGTGGCATTACAATTACAGCACAGCGGGCGAGGAAGAGGCTTTCTGTATGACGTATGTGCTAATCAGACCCCAGCAGTTGTCATGCACAAAACTTTGACTCTTTGTAAAATGTAAACTTTAAAGTTTGGTGTGTAAACCTGGGGAGAGAATGCTTTCTTTAATAAGCAGATCCTGAGCATACATTTGACTAAGCAAGAACTTAATATATGACCAAAGAGCCAGATGATTTTAGAAGACAGTCCACAGATGAGATACGAGTGAGGATTTGACAGGAAAAAGACAATAGAAGGATCCTTGAACAGAAATGAGTGAAAAAGACAGATCTAAGGAATGTATGGATGACAGACCCCTCAAGCTGATAGGCGTACAGCCTCACAGGTAATTGAGAAATTGAAGGAAAGGACAGACAGACAACAGTGCACATTCTTGAGGCCTGTGAGTCATTTTCAAGTCTGACGCCGCACACAATGGCAGTGAGAGCGCAGACGTTACGGACGAGATGTAAATTGCCAACGTGTTTGCACAGAATTTGGCAAGATGCAGTGAAGCTGGAGATCATGGCTGCTGCCTGCTGATTCTGCATCTCTGAAACTTGCCCATGTGCTGGCTGCCACAGATGCAGAGAGTTGCCTGAGTGTTTCAGCTAAGTAGTGGTATGTGTGCTGGGCAGGAGTAAAAGGATGTTTGTAGCATATTCAACACTCCACAGCCCCGTATGAGTTGATGAATGTACGTACATATGCAAGTAGTTCAAGTGGAGCTTCCACTGGAGTGCTTAACAAGTTAGAGATAGTTAACCTCTGTAGAGGGGAGGAGTGGAGTGAAGGGGGACCCTTGTCTCACAGGCTGTTTCCTTTTTTAAGCAACTGGAGAGTGGTCTGGTACATGGATGTGTGTTTCTTACAGACTTAAAAATATGGGCATCCTTTTTAAAATGGAAGTAAAGAGTTTTACCTGAAGTAAATACAGTTTGAAGTAACATGCTCATATTAAATTTGCATAATTTTGAGCAAGATTGGTATGCACATTTGAGGTTATTTGGTAGCGTATTAGGTACTTGAAGATGTGTTAAGGTATCTTCTGAAAGCTGGGTGTGATGGTGCACACTTATAGTCCAGCATCCAGGAGTGTGAGGCAGAGCTGGACTCTGAGTCAGCCTGGACTGGGTAGCAGACCCTGTCTCACAGAAACAAGCACAAACTCCCCTCGTGCTGGGAACTGGGTGGCAGTCTTCGCAGGGACCACCACTGGGGAGCTGCCGCAGTTAGGCGAGCGTATAGTGTCCTGAAGTAATTCTGTTTTCTGCCCTAGATGCGTTACAGCACACCATAATCCACAAGAAACACGCTGGGAAGAGCCCCGCTGGGAAGTAGGTATCTGATGATAAAGCGAGAATGCTTTTGTGCACCTTAACCTAACACTGAGTGAAGCTTCCGGGTGTCTCTTGACGGTTTGTTCCGTGGTCTCGCCTCCTGTTTCTTTTGTCCCCTTCCTTGCAGCCTTCTGGAGGAAGTTCCTTTGTGGCAGCTGTCATAGTTGATGTGTTTTGTTTTCTGGTGGTCACCCCCCCAAATTGTGCGTCGTTCACCTCGTAGAGTCTGGTGTAAGTTTGTACTTGCAGCATTCCTCAGGTATCGGAGGAACTGGAGTGCTGTGACTTCATTTTTTTTTTCTGAGTTATAAATCACAATCATGCATTTTCATTCCCTTCATAGTTTTACATTTTGTGACACCCTTTTCCAGTGTTGATTTGGTCCCTTTTTGCTCCTTCTTGTCCCTAAGCATCCAGCCATGTTGGCTTTCCTTTTAAATGAAATATATCTGTATATGGTAAATGCAGGGGTGTGTGTGTGTGTGTTGTATTACTAGATATTGGACATAGGCTACTCACAAATCTCGGCAAGCCCTCTACCACTGAGCTACACTTAACCCTGAGTACAGTTTGTTTTTAATCTGAAGGGGAAAAAAATGTAGCTAGCCTTCATTTTTAAAATTTCGTTATTAAATTTTTTCATTTATTTTACCTATCAACCACAGTCTTCCCTCCCTCCTCTCCTCCCATTCCCTCCCTCCGCCTGCCTCCCCCCCCCATCCACTCTTCCTCCATCTCTGTTGTCCCCATTCAGAAAGGGACAGGCCCCCCACGGATTCAGCAAAACATGTGCCTTTATTTTTTTTTTTTTTTTAAGTCTTTTTTCTTGATAGTGATTCTAGGTTGGCAGTTATTTGCCGTTAGCTCTTTGAGTCTTTACTTGACTTTCTCCTGGTCATATAGTTTTCACCTGTTGTGTACAAATCCCGTCAGCCACCTCTGATCTCTGGCAGACCACATACAATCATTATGTGATTTTGAGCTCACATAGCAACAATACTGCCCTGCTCACTCGAGTGCCACAAGGCTTCCTGCTTTCTGCACCAGGGCCCTTGCTGGTCCTGGGGGGCGCCTGCTTCCTGTTTTTGTAGATGGTGTTGGAGCTCCTTGGCTTGGCCCCTCTTGGTCCTCCTCTCCGAGAGCCCTCTCCACTCAAGGCTGTCACTTAGCCTGCTCGTGGGTCTGAAGCCGTCGCCCTGTTGTTGAACTGATCTCTGCTGTTCTTTTGGTGTTTTCCTCCTGGGGCTTTTGGGTTTTTCTCAGTTGTCTGTGATAGATTTTGTAGCTGTTTTTGCATTCTGTTTCTAGAATCTGTAACTTATGTCTTGATTTTACAAAATTCCCAGCTTATGTCTTCAGATATTCCTTCTGTTCTGTTCTCTTGAGCCATCTTGTAAAAGTCACTGAGGTCCTTACGAGTTGGGCTCTTCACACATTCTGCTTGTCTCTGATGTTTTTATGTGAGTTTTTTCTTCTCCTTTCAGTTCCCTGTTCAGCTCCCCGTCCACTGAATTCTTCTCCCCATTTTTTCAGTTGAAGACTTTACATTTGTTTTTTTCAGACACTCTGAAGAATCCTCAGTCTTCTGTATTGGTTAACAGTGTTCAACACCCAGTCTTTCCCCAATAACTTCATTTTCTGGATGCTTTAGGCCTGTCCTGTTGTCTGTATTTTGAGGGGGTTCTCTATCACACTCTGTTGATCCTTCATGTACCTGTTCATACAGCTCTTCACTCGGCAGTTCTTGCCTGATCCAGGCTGTGGGTGTCTCTGTTGAGCTGACCGACAGTGATGTGGGAACACCTCAGTCACACAGGCACTCATGGCAAGTCGACTCGTGCTGATAAATTATAAAGAGAGGCCACTTACTTCGAGTATACTCGTTTCCGTATGCCTATGTGCTGATGACTAGACACTCCACAAACAGAAAGGAGAGGTTAGGGAAAGGCTCCGGTAACTTCTTCCTTGAGGTGGGAGAGTAGGTTGAGTTAGGGGACAGACTTGACACTGTCATTGTCTTTCCTTGTGTTAGCAGTGTTGGTACGAGCTGTTCTCCGTTGGATGGGCTTACCTTGCAGTATGCAGAACAGAATGGAACTGTGGATTGGAGGAGCCAAGGCTGTGCCACCATCCAGCACCCGGAGCCCTGTGTGGCCTCGGCTGACCAGGTATGTGTCGGGTGGCTTTGGTGCCATTTGGCTAACGCATTGCTGCGCTCTCTTTCCTAAGGAGTGAGTGTTGTGAGCCTTGGTCAGGTTGCTTCTCTGGTAAGAAGTGAGGAAATGTTTCCGTGGGAGCCTCTAATTCGTATATGTAATTGAATTCCTGAGGTCTGAAAAGGTGGATCAAACTTTGATTGTGTAAGACTACCACAATTTAATAAGACACTTCAAGTCTTTATTCTAGTTCTAGGGGTTCATTAAATTGTTCCAATTTATTATTATTACTAGTAGTATTATTATTTTGGTCTCAGAAGGATTATTTACCTGTTAAATCCCTATCTTGATACTGACCTTTCCTTGCAGTGTTTAGGCAGGTTCACCCACTTCCTTGCATATGGTAAGCGAGTGTTTGCTTTCTTCGGAACTGCTGTGATGAGAGGAGGATGCTGGTGTGCATTCATATAATATACCACCACCACTGGGGCAGAAAACGCCAGTGTTGCTGGTGTAGTCTGTCTGCAAGATTGATTTGTGAACTTGATTATGTTTCTGACCAATACATAGATCCATATCTCTTTATATGGACAAAAGCATATTTTGAGAAATTTTAAGTTATCACTGTCATAATTAATGGTCTCCTTGTTAAAGCCACCTGATTCTTCTTTCCCTCTATTCCAATGTCTGTGGCTTCTCTTAAGTGTGACAAATATGTCAGTTTTATTGACCTGAGCTGCATGTGAAGACCCATAGCAAATACCAGTCACTTGATCATAGTCTGTTTGGGGCAGTAGTCTCCCTTGTCCACAGAGGTAACATTTCCAGAACTCAGTAGAGTACCTGAAAACCCTGTCTCTTCCTATACATGAATGAAAAGCTATGATAAACTTTATAAGTGGGCCTAGTACAAGGCTCTCAACAGTAACATTATAAAATAAGTTGTAACAGTAGCGTATCATGATTTATGTGGTTGTGTTCATGTGCTTAGCTGCTGTCAGGCCAGCAGTGAATGTGGCATAGATGTGCTAGACAAGGGATGCTTGTGTCCCAGGAGGGTGGAACAGAGTGAGATTTCACCACGCTGCTCAGAGCAGGAGTGTAAGACACAGGGCATGTTCACTTCTGGAAGTATGCATTAGTATGCTTTTGACTGCTTGACTTTGGAAAGTCAAGGTACAATTAAGGAGACCTGCAGTCAGATAAAGGAAAGTCGAGATCTGTTTTAGAACAGTTTTCTCATGATCAATGTTAAGTATTTGTCATAGAATGTGTACATTTTATTTAGTGCTTCTGTAGGTAACTTCAGAAGTGGGCTGCAAATCAAAATTTGTTAGTTTGTGATGGAGAATGGTCTTTGTTATGTTTGATACTAGAATAAGGATACCTACAGTAATGTATGGTGTAGCTGAGGTCTATTTTTTTTTTATTTCTACTAGCACTGTGCTGAAAAACGGAGCTTGTCTTCAGTAAATAAGAAGAAAGGGAAGCCACAGATAGAAAAGTAGGTCAATTTAATGTTTTCAGTAATAAAAATTAGGAAAGATAAGCATTTAGTATCTGGTTATGGATGTATTTAGCATGTGTGTGAGGGTGGGTGGGTGTGTGTACATACAGTATATTCCATTGATTTTTACTTTTCTTTTAGTTTTGGGGTTAACATTTGTAGTTGAAATTATCACCATGCACATGATGGAAGGAAAGCTTCTATCAAAGAATGCATTTGGTGTGGAGGGCAGAGCTCTCAAAAGCACACTGAATGGTGACACTCTAGGTTTTTCATAGAGTTTGTTTTTAATGATACAAATATCTGGAGCATTTTAGTAATACCATATTTAATGTTTTTGATAGAGGGCCTTACAAGTGTTGATTTTCTATATATATATATATATATATATCGGTTTGATTTAGGGAGAAAATGAAGAAAACGGAGAACAGATTGAGCAGTAGAATAAATGGTGTTAGACTCTCTGCTCCTCAGCACGCTCATGGCAGTCCTGGGAAAGGTAAGGAAGGCTTCCTCTCCAGTGTCCTCTCTACATCTGCAGTGTAACATCAGGCCATTATTAGATATTCCTGGAGGTAAAACGGTAATTTAGAGGTCGTGTCAGCAATAGCCAGTCTCTCCTGCAGAGCTGGCTGGTTCTGACATTATGGCAGTCTTCTCTCAGCGTCGTGGAGCACCTTCAGGGAAATCTAGACATACTCTTGCAGAGTCAATTTTAGAATATAACAGACATTTTTATATTTGATGACTTAACTTACGGAGCTTTGTTGGACTAGGTGGTTTAGTTTCCATTTACCAACTATCTTTAAGGTAGGGACTTGAAGTCCCTCTGTTTAGGGTTAAGGTTCATCTGATGGAAAAGCCCTCTTTTTCTAGTTCATCAGTTGCTTTTTGTGTTTTATTTGCCTGTAGTAATAATTATAAAAATAGAAAAAGAGGAAAAAGCCATAGACGTCTAGAAAAAAAATTCTGTGTGTGCACCTGACAATAACTAGCTGATTCCATAAATGGTTGGTTTGGGTTTAGTTTTTGTTTTGTTTTGTTTTTTAAATCTTACTGTCTTGGCAGCATATTAATTTGTGATATAACAAAAGTAGCAAGAATATTTTTAAATTAGGATGTATTTGCAGCTAGGCGATCATAGAGACAGACTAAATAGTATAGAAAGAAAAATGATTATATTTTGAATCTCAGATCATGCCAGTTTATTGTATTAGCTAAATTGTAAGTGACTTCACTTTTCTGTTGCTGTGATAAAACACCATGACCAAGGCAACTTATAAAACTGTTTTATTTAGGGCGTGAAGTTTCCAAGGGTGAGTTGTGACCACCATGGCAGGGAGCATGGCAGCAGGCAAGCAGACATGGTGCTGGAGCAGGAGCTGAGAGTTTACATCCTGATCCACAAGCATAGGCAGAGAGAGCTAGCTTGAAGGGGTGTAGACGTTTTGAAACTTCAAAGCCTACCTCCAGTGACACACCTCCTCCAAAAAAGGCCACACTTGTTAATTAATTGTTCCCAGACAGTTCCACTAACTGGGGACCAAGCATTCAAACGTATGAGCTTATTGGGGCCATTCTCATTCAGACCACCATAAGGGTAAAGATGACCTGGAAAAACCCATCCTGCCTACATAAGGATGTGGTCCAGGAGCATGCCATGTGGTAGCACTTTGATATCTGATGTTCCAGATGGTGAAAAAGGTTGGTCTGCTGGTGGCTGACTAGAAACCACTCCTGCCAGGGTTTCCTGTCTTGTTCCCCTGGGTCATTCTCCATATTGCTTTCATGTTTGTTTTCAAAGAACATGTTTAGCTGAGGTACTCTCCTGGGCAAGTCCTGTGTGCACCACCATTTACTCTGATTTCACACACTTCTAGAACTCGGGCTCCCCCAGATGCAGCAGTGCAGCTGTTATCTTTTTTCGGCCCAGAAAGCATCTCATGGACTTTGGTCAGAGCCATCCCTAGGTTTGGTTCTGTGTCCTTGTTTCTTAGATGTGTGGCCTCTCAAGTTGTATCGTTGATGTGTATAAGCCAGGAATAACGTCTTCCTTCCCTAATTGTAAGTCACATGTAACAGCCTGTGAACAGACTGAGCACTGACTGAAGAGATGCTCAATGATTTACTTCTTGCTCCTTGTGCTACTAAATCAGAAGAAAATACACATTTTTAAGTCATTACAAGCCTTGAAGCATCCCAAACTCCAATTCCTTTCCCCTTTATCTCTCTAATTTTCAAGTTTTATGATAATCAGGCTTTTTGAGTAAGTCAAACCTTGTCCTATTTGGGGGTTGTTTTGGGTTTGTTTGTTTTTTTTGTTTGTTTGTTTTCAGTATGTTTGTGTATCTAGATACAGATATGTGTAATTGACTCATATTTATCAGGAAGGACTATGAATAAAGTGTACTCTGAGCATCCTGTCTCATTGATGTCTTTATGTAATTCAGATGTATGACAACCCCAACCTAAGAAAACAAACCCGTTTATTTTCCTCTGAAGGATTACAGTGCCAAGAAAAAACAGCCTTTAAGAATTCAAGCTTTGCGCAGTGGCAGTATCGTAGCCAATGAGGTTTATCCGAGGCGCGATTATTGCTAATTGAAAACTTTTGCCGGGCGGTGGTGGCGCACGCCTTTAATCCCAGCACTCGGGAGGCAGAGCCAGGCGGATCTCTGTGAGTTCGAGGCCAGCCTGGGCTACCAAGTGAGTCCCAGGAAAGGCGCAAAGCTACACAGAGAAACCCTGTCTCAAAAAACCAAAAAAAAAAAAAAAAAAAAAAAAGAATTCAATAAACTGGATTCTTAGGAAGCAGCTGCTATAACGAAATGCAGATAGTGTGTGAGAGCTGAGATAGTGGTCCTTCTGGTTAGTGCACTGTTGCATCCAAGATGGGTGTCATTTACTTTTAATTTTTAAATTTTAATTTCTCCTTTGATTGACAGTATATTCATGCATCTCAGAAATAGGAAAGGGAACAAAATAAAGATTTTTTCACTGCTCCCTTCTATGTTTTCTGCTTCCAGGAAACAGCCTGTGCTATTAGTCATCTCTGTTGGCAGTATATTTTCTTTGCAAACTTGGATGTCTCAGTGGTAGCAATGGTAGTAACACACTCCTGAAATCCCAGGGCTTTATAGGCTGAAGCATAAATATTATCAATTCAAGGCCAGACTAGACTACTCAGTAAAATCATGTCCTTTAAAAAAAAAAAAAAAACACTTGATAACTCTGTTCTAAGAGATAGATCATTACTACACAGAGACCATTAAGAACTTACTAAGAACCTATGCTTTGGGGGCTGGCCAGATGGCTCAGTGGTTAGGAACACTGGCTGGACAATCATGAGGATTCAAGTTCTTATTGCAGCACCCACAAAATGAACTGGATATGATCTTGCAGGAGCCTTTAACCCTAGAAATAGGGGGTAGGAGCAGGGGCAGCTGCTGAGTCTTCTGGCATCCAGCCTCACAGAAAACCTGAGCCCTCAGACCAGGGAGGGACTACATTTCGGGGACGTAGGTGGACAGTGAACGAAGATACATGGTGCCCTCCTGGGCTCTGCATATGTGCCCAGGCACATGCCCATACACACATGTACACACACAGACATAGTTACTTATATGGATCTGTGCAGTAAATGTGTCGTCACACAAGCTGTGTTAGCAGTGGGGCTTACAGAAGTGGGGTTTACAGAAGTCTGGGTTGGTGTATGAGTGACTCTTAGTGGACACAAGAATATTCTGTCCTAGTATGCCCACAACAAATGCCACTAGTTGATAGTTGCCCGTACTGCAGTCGCCCCTTCCTTGTCCTGGCATGGGATGGCCTCTGGGTAGAAGTTAAGGGGCTGCCTAGTCTGGTAGATGAGAAGCATGCTGTTGTTTTTAAACACTCTGGCATGGCTAGCGGTTTTAACAGAACATATATTAGGATATACCACCTACTCTTAGAGGATTTCTTTAGCAAGCTCTAGGGAGATTGACTCTGTAGACTTAGAACATAGCTCAAAGTGGTGATATTGGACTGTCCCTACAAGAAACTACTAATTCTGATTAAGTTAGTAAAATTGACTTGTTCTATGCCTTTGTTTTAAATATGTATTTATCAGCTACTTAATAATGAATTTTAACATAGATCAAAGACAAATTTCTAATGGTTCTGTTTGAAAATTAATATAACTGTTTAACATAACTTTAGAGCTGTTGTTTTTAGATATGAATTTGGACATTGGATCTGGACATGACACATGTGGAGAAACATCTTCAGAGAGTTACAGTTCTCCGTCTAGTCCACGGCATGATGGAAGAGAAAGTTTCGAAAGTGAAGAAGAAAAGGACAGAGGTTTGCTTTTAGCAGAGGGATAGAAAGAGGTGGGGGCAGATGAAACTGTTCTCTCTTAAACAGCCCGCTGTTGACTTAAAATTTGTTATTAAAGGTATTTAAAGACCACTCACTGCATATGAAGTCAGTAGACAGGGAAAGGTATTGTACCAAGACAGGCTTGTCTTGTGGATGGGGACTGGCATGGTCCGCACAGCGGCCACTCCGCTCACTTGGGGGTGGGTCTTGTGGGGTAGTGTTTGGGGGACTCCACACTACATCTCTCTAGTGATGTTTGTGTTAGTGGTCTGTGGACTGGGGAGGAGATGGGATGAGGGTAGGACAAGGATCTCCGTTCATAAGAGATTGACCGATTTCTCTTACACACCCTATGATCGCTCCAGGCCTTCAGTTAATTTTCACCTTTCTGAGAAAGTTGATTTTGACATTTCTGCTATTCTCGTTGGAGACTTACCATTCTGGCCTGACAGGAAGAGCCCCTTGAAAAGTCTGTGTAGTGAGAGTGCTGTCCTTCAGATACGCCAACCACAGCTGAAGGCTGGCCTCATGACAGCGAAGGCGCCATGCTGAGCGCAGTCTCAGACCGTTTCTCTGTTAAATTCCTAACCCATGGTATCTCGGCCAGATGTGGCTTCTTGCTGCACGGTTTTAAGCTCGCTGGGACCTGAGCTTCTGTGTCGCTGTCATAGCGTGTCAGGACACTACGGCTTTGCAGACAGTTGAAGTCGGTCTTCACCTTGGGTTGTTTGTTTCACGGTCAGATCAGATGAAACCTGCAGTGGTCAGTGCTACAGATGTGAGACCACACTGCACTTCTGCATAGTTTCCTCAAAGAAAAAATAACCTCAGAGCTATGGGACATTGAGAGGATCTTTATGCCTTATCTAGTAGACAGGCTTTCAGTGTATTGTGGTGCACATTGTACTTGGTTCTGTGGAGTGTGCAGATAATTCTGAGTCTTGAGCAGATTTCACCTGGTTGTCAGATCTGTAGGTAACTCTGATAGCATCCCTTCTTGTTCTCAGATCTATAGTTGATAGGCCTATGTGGAGGACATTGCCCTTTATTCATGACGGCTTCCCCAGAGACAGAGTCCCTCAGGGTGCGCCCAGGCACACACTGGGATGCAAAGCTTTGAGTACACACAAAGGCCTTCAGAAGCGTGTGGTTCTGTTGTTGTAATGATGCTCTGAGACTTTCTGCTTTCCAAAGTTAGTACACAAACATCCTTCCCCCTGATCCCTGTAGTGCTCCAAAAATCAGTTATCACTGTGCCTGAGACTAGAGGTTTGAATTCATGTGGAAATTTAACTGAGCATCTGAAAGATGGCTTCTTTTTTCTTTTTGAACTTGATTTTTGTTCTGAACTCTGCACTGATGGATAGTACACCTCCAGTGCCTTGAAGAGGTTATTAATTTAGGGAGATTCTTTCTAACGTTAATAATGAGTAGTATAATAATTTATGTTAGGGGCCATATTTGATAAAACCATTCACTCATTAATTCGGCTCCCTCTAATATAAATTGAGACAATTCAGTTGATAACACTTGATATTCTGTGTCAAGTGGGTTCTGTTTAGCTTTTCTGTAGGAAGGTTAATCAATTGTTTCAAGGATGCTTAGCATTGCTCGCTACATGTAACCAGTTCTTGACTTAATGAACACTAAGTCCCAGGTGTAATCCTGCTTAATTCACAAGCAGAAAGACTTTCACAGTTAGTGCCTGTCTAACTGAGTGAGCGGGCAGACTGCAGTGCAGTGTTGACCATGTGTAAACACCGCACCAGCTAGTGCCTCGGCTCCTCTCTGCCCCGTCTGGGAGCTGGCGTGACTTGTGTGTGTGCCCTGTGTGCTACAAGAGGACACAGGGGCAGCAGTGTCGTGTCGCTGTGGAGCAGTGGGGGTGTTTTCTTTCTTATCCTGCCTTTTGTGCTCCAGAATATTCTTTGTAGGACGAATACAGGTAGCTTTAAATGCTTCCTGTTGAATATATAGTAGTACAAGTACGTAGTCCATTTCCTACCTTAAGTAGTTGAGTTAAATATTGTTCTGATCATCTTTAAATTGAATCATGAGATAAATTTAAATTCGAGGTTTTGATGGTACAGAATTAAGTAGATTACCTAAAATGGTTGTTTAATGCTTTTCTCAGTAATCAAGTAGTAGTGCATGCATATCTCTTGTGTCTTACACTCCAGTGGCCTTTGTTGTTGTTTTAGAGATGAAAGCATACTGAAAGCTCGGGCAGTTGAAAATTGTGGCAGAGCAGAGCATAGCAGACTTGAATTAATTTTAGATAGACTAAAATCTTAGTGCTAGTAAGAAAATAGGAATTCAGCCTGGATTAATCCATGTTTGCTGTTTTCTTTAGACACGGACAGCAATTCTGAAGATTCTGGGAGCCCATCAGCAGCCAGGTTTACAGACTTTGGCTCTGTCACTGTCAAGCCACCTGTTCAGATTGTCTCCCTGGGGACCGAGAATGGAAGCCTTTTAGAAGCCCCACTGACCTCACACAAGTATCCGCATATTCCCTTTATGCCAACTCTACACTGTGTCATGCACAATGGTGCCCAGAAGTCAGAAGTTGTCATTCCTTCACCCAAATCTGCAGATGGCAAAGCAATAGGGATGCTTGTTCCTAACCCTATGGCGATTTCTACAGTGATGGAGTCCACAAATTCAAGCCCTGTTGGAATCCTAGGCCCCGCAGCTTCTGGAGAATCAGAGAAACACCTGGAATTGTTGGCTTCCCCTTTACCTATCCCATCCTCCTTCCTTCCACACAGTAGTCCTCCTGCTTTGCAGCTAACATTGCAGAGACTAAAATTGCCACCACCACAGGGATCGTCTGAGAGTTGCACAGTTAATATTCCACAACAGCCAAGCGGAAGTCTGAGCATTGGATCACCAAACACTGCCTTTATTCCTGTCCATAACCCAGGTAGTTTCCCGGGATCTCCTGTGGCTACCACGGACCCCATCACAAAATCTGCATCCCAACTGGTAGGACTAAATCAAATGGTGCCTCAGATTGAGGGAAACCCAGGAACAGTCCCTCAGCCTACCAATGTGAAGGTAGTTCTTCCAGCAGCTGGCCTCCCGGCTGCACAGCCACCAGCTTCCTACACCTTCCCAGGCTCACCCCTTGCTGCCAGTGTGCTACCCACCCAGAATTCTAGTGTGCTCAACACAGCCACTTCTGCCCAGCCGACAAGTGCAGGCATCAGTCAAGCCCAGTCCACGGTTCCTCCTGCTGTCCCTACCCACACCCCGGGCCCTGCCCCAAGTCCCAGCCCTGCCTTGACACACAGTACTGCTCAGAGCGATAGCACATCTTACATCAGTGCTGTGGGGAACACGAACGCTAATGGGACCCTAGTGCCACCACAGCAGATGGGCTCAGGTCCTTGTGGTTCGTGCGGGCGAAGGTGCAGCTGTGGGACCAATGGAAACCTTCAGCTAAGTAGTTACTATTATCCCAATCCAATGCCTGGACCAGTGTACCGAGTCCCATCATTCTTTACTCTGCCATCCATTTGCAATGGCAGCTACCTCAACCAAGCACATCAGAGCAATGGGAACCAACTTCCTTTTTTTCTGCCTCAGACTCCATATGCAAATGGACTGGTGCATGACCCAGTCATGGGGAGCCAAGCCAACTATGGCATGCAGCAGATGGCAGGATTTGGGAGATTGTACCCTGTATATCCAGCACCTAATGTAGTTGCCAACACCAGTGGTTCTGGGCCCAAGAAGAATGGGAATGTCTCATGTTACAATTGTGGTGTGAGCGGACATTATGCACAAGACTGTAAGCAGTCGTCCATGGAGGCCAGTCAACAAGGTAATCACACTAACTCCCAGAGGACTTGTTTCTGAGGTCCCCCGTTTCTTCTTCCTTCTTGATTATGTGATTCTGTCTTAGCAGAAAGATCCGTTTGTGTGTGTGTTTACAGAGGTTGTAGTTTCAGTGACAAATCACAATGCAACCAGAGAAACGCTAGTGTAGATCCACGTAGCACAAGAAAGGTCAGAGGAAGTTTAGTTTGTCACTAAGGACTAAACGCCAGAGGCACTTTTCAAGGGTTCAGGGGATATCATGGAAATCTAAATTCTAAAATGTTACGTCCCCTGCTTGCAAAGCTGTATTTTAAGAGTTATAATCCTCTTTCACAGAGGAAGCAGAGTTTTCAAATACTGAAAACGCGATGTAAGCTAGTTATCTGGCATGAAAGGTTTTTAGTCTGATTAGTCAACCAGCTGGCTCACGTACGTGCCCATGCTGCCTTTAGTTCAGTACACAGAAGAGAAGGAATTCCCAGAGTCCATTGAGTTTTTACAGGAACAACATAATTTGAACACCAGTTTAGGAGTTAGGAAGCAAGAGTGAAGCTGAGAAGTGCTAACCCCAGAAAGAAGAGCATGCCCTTAACTAGGTGTGGGTGTGGGCCAGCTTTGTCTCTGTGCCAGATGTTACCCGGAAAAGGTCTTCTTGGATCAGGATACTGTTAGGCATCCTCAAAGGAAAATCCAGTTCAGTAGCTTTAGGTTATCCTTGAAGCACAGGCTGGCCGTTGCTTTGGGAGAGTGCTTTACTTGCCATTTTGGACCAGAGTTAGTGCTGAGGAAGGGCCTTTGAAAGCATGCCCGTTTGCAGTCTTGTGTAGTGGTTTGTGATGTGTGTAGTCATGAGCGGTGACTTAGCCGTCTGTCTTTCCTGTTTTAGGCACTTACAGACTGAGATACGCACCTCCCCTCCCCCCTTCTAATGATACGTTGGATTCTGCAGACTGAACGAGTAAAGCTTGCCTACTTAATGCACTCAAGTGTGGGGAGTCATGGGGTGTGGAGGGGAGGAAAGGAAAGGTATTTTGTTTCTTTGTACATTTCCTAAATTTCTATGCAGTTGAGAGTTTTCATTTCTCTTGTACCAATGTCCAAAATAAGAAAGAATGCGATGTTCCTGAGCCTCTGGTCCCCTGGTTCCACAGCAGGCTTGTATGATATGTGTAACTTAAATTTCAGACAGACTCTCGAACAAACAATATTGATGTGTGCTTTTTTACACTGAATACTTGCTGTGTGCAATGTTTACTGAATCTTGAGACTGTGTTGACCTTATTTGTTCTCACGACACTGGTGACAGTCGTATGGTCTGGAAAACGCTGTGCTGCTTGCGGCCTTCTCGCTCGACCCTGTCCCGGCCTGCTGCGGGAGTGCTCAGCAGTGTCCTTGCTGCACTCTGGAACCAAGGGCAACATGTCTCACCACACATGTAGAAGTCAGATTCCCGAGATGTGTACATATGTCACACAAACCTCACGCGAATACACATATGCAGCACTTGTCCAAATACCATGAAAACAAGTGGGAGAGAGGCAGTCAGACTACAGGAAGCCGAGAATGTGACCTGGACAAACCTTGTTTCCTTGAGAGGAGAGAACTTTTCCTTCCAGCATACTTTTGTAGCCTGTTGCTTCAGAGACCCAGGGAACACACTGGTGTGGATGCTGTTCTCTGTATGCGTGTGTCTGTGACGACAGTCAGCAGCCAGTTCTACTTGTTGTCTACCACCTTGACCTGATGAGACACCGCCTGAGTGAAGACGTCATCTTCTGCCGCACCAGCTGTCACAGTGTCACACCGTGTTTCCATGTGTGTGGGTTTCTACAGTCGGGTGTCTGCTCCCTCGCCATAAGCAAGTCACTTTCATAGCCGTGGACCACTATGCTTGACTATAATGTGAAAGACTGAGTGTGTTGAGATGGTCTTAATCATGTCAGTGTCGTGTCAACTAAGTTTAATGCTGCTGTTTTTTTGTTTTGTTTTGTTTTTTTGACTGTTTAAAAAAGCCAATCTATTTACTAAATTGCTTCCAGGTAATTTTTTGATTTCCTGAAGTGCACTGAGGTTATCTGGGAGATTGGATGTATCTCCAGTGACTGCTACACTCAGGAGCAGTGAGAAAGTACCACCACATAGTCATAAGCTTAGGGGGTAAGAGGTTTCCATTCCTGGGTAAAGAGTAGAAATGATTGGCTGGTGTGATGGGGAATGCCGCTGGGCTGTGGCAGAGGCACTGAAATGTTTGGTCTAGGTTCAGAAGCCTGACATTGTGAGACAAAGGGAAAAAAAACTTGAAGAAAAAGAAGCTAGTTCAACACTTCAAAAGTAGCATTTATATTTATAGCACCAATGTACATTCTGAAACTTTCAGGGGTAGGCGCTGTGGAGGCGCTATAGGGAGAGAAGGGGGAGCGTGACCGGGTAGATGAAAGAAAGCTTTAATTTAGAAAGAAAAAGTTCAAGTAAAGGAAATTATTTTGATTAAATATATTTTATTTGATCCGGTATTTTTGGACCACACTATTAAATTGTTAAGCTGCGGTTGAGTCGTTCAGGGGAGAGTAAGCCTTGTGCAGGTCGTGGGACTCACTTGCCAGGTGTACTATGGGGCTTATTTTATGATTTCAAATACTGTACTGTACATAGGAGGTGTGTTACCTTCTCCTTATTTGTATGTTTACCATATACTTTGATATTTGAAATGTTATGTACTGGAAAGGCCACTTATATTTCTAGGACAGATTGGATTTTATGCAACCTTTTTCCTTGAATTAACAGCAATAAAAAAATGAAAACAGCTTAAGAATCGTGCCTTATTGCAAGTTTTATGAACTTGGAAGTGATTTTCATGGTAATTTGTCTTTTAAAGAAACAGTTCATTTCCCTCCTCACGTAGGCAGTGTCTCCCAGCGTGACTTACTGCCTGGATGTTCCTCAGTCTTTCCCTGGTGCAGGTCAGCAGTGCAGCCTCCAAAGGAAGGGAAGACTATGTCATGGCCATCTTCGTCAACAGGGTGAAGCCTCTCTCCCGAGAAACTAGATCTGGTTTTGGATCCCCCTTAATCACAGCACAAAGGACCCAATTTTTCCATTTTGTTGATTTCTTCCTTTTTTATTTTTTTATTTATTTTTTGGCTGTGGGAGGCACAGAACTATCATGGTTCAGTATTGAGTTTTTTTCTTGTTGTTTGTTCTTCTATAATCCAGTTTAAGTCAAAGTCTTAAAGCCATCAGGCATTTCTAACACGTTGGAGACCAGTGTGCCCGCTGTGCTGACGGTTTTTCTGAAGTGCCTCTACCCCCAGTATTCAGCGTGGGCAGGACACTGGGAAGGGTATCACACTATTGTCTGGCCACATGTGTGTTTGGTTGTCATAGAGCACTGTTAGTTACTGTACTACTGTCATGATAAAACACATGGCCACGGCAACCTGTAGAAGAAAAAACTTATTTGAACTTATGATTCCAGAGAGTTAGAATCCATAATGGTAGAGCCTTGAAGGCCTGGAGGCCAGAACAGGATGCGATGCTGAGGGATGTCTTCAACTGCAATCGGGAAGTAGAGCAAACTGGGAACGACAGGAGGTTTGAACTCTCGCGGCCCTTCTCCACCGGAGCCTCCCCAGGCTGTCACTAGTCACCGGTTGGGGACTAAGTATCCAGTGCCTGAGACTGGACGACATTATTGTTCAAGCCACAGCAGGCACCAGCTTCCCTCCCGGGAGGGATGAACTTTTACATTAACCGGCCTCCCGCTTGCCTCACCCCTCAGCCAGCAGTCCATCTGCTCGTGCTCTTCTTGACCTGTCTGAAAGGGAGTCAGTCTTCTCACACAGCCCGCTGGGCCGAGCTCTGCTCATGTGGTCTGTGACCCATGCTGCCCTCCTGACACTCATTTTCACACCTTGAAATGGTCTCACAAGGATGAGTATTGATAAATGGATCCATTGTTCTGTCGATGGACATCCCGGTGGCGTCTCTTTTTCTTTTCAACTTACAGTGAGTGATGCCAGGAACGTTGATTTGTGCTGCCCTGGCTTGTGTGTCAGAGCTTGTCAGAGCATGTAACTAGGTGTGCAGTCATACTGTAACATGCAGATACCGTTGGCTTTCCAAGATTCTCCATAGCTTCTTCCAAGTGATAACGCTCCTGCTGTGCACTAAGGGCTCCTGAAATGCCGTCTCCCAAGATGCTGTCACAGGACGTGACTCCAGAGGGGTTTTGTAGGCCTTTGGGAGAGGTGAGTTGAGCCCAGATTCATGGTGTGACGGGATTCATGACTGCATGGGGGAACAGGAAGCATGTGACAGGAAATTAGACAGATGGCTGTGGTGTAGGTCAGGGGAGAAGGAGCCCAACATTAATGGTAAAGGTGCTGTAACGAGGAGGGCAGGTGTGCACGCAATGGAATGGGGCGAGAACGGGAGTGGACTGAAGTTTTTAAATGGGAAGAACATGTTGCCTCTGGTGTCTGAGGAAGAAAGCCGGGAAGCCCAGCGTTTGGTCAGGGGGGCTAGACTAAGTCATTCCTGTAAAAACCAACTTAGTCCAAGGAGAAGGGAGGTATGGAGTGAGATGTTTTCTTTTAGACTGTGTTCAGAGGATCACGTAAAGAAAGAGAAGGAAGGATCTGTATAATAGCACGGGGGTCTCAGGCAGTGACTTTTCTATCAACAGGAGGAAGAGGACCTAGAAACCCATCGGAAGAGCTGGTTAAGTCTGCCCCATGTGCCAACAAAATTTACCTACCTTGAAGAGTTTGTCTAGTTGGAAACCTCCCAGTTAATGGTAGATACGCACAGTTTTACATAGCCAAGGTGTATGTCTGTTATTCCATCATTACTCCATAAAATAAGTCTGCTTAGTAGGTGAATTTAACATTCAACTTTTTTATATACTAAAAATATACTTTCTTTTTTTTCTGAAAAGGTTCCAGTTTTTAAAAGACTTCAAATTTTAATAGCATCTGTTACTCAAGATCCTCATCCACTCAAGCTTGGGAGACATCTTTACTCAGTTCTGTATGCTGATGAGAGCATTCTAAGGTTGGGAGACATCTTTACTCAGTTCTGTATGCTGATGAGAGCATTCTAAGGTTGGGAGACATCTTTACTCAGTTCTGTATGCTGAGGAGAGCATTCTAAGCTTGGGAGACATCTTTACTCAGTTCTGTATGTTTATGAGAGCATTCTAAGGTTGGGAGACATCTTTACTCCGTGCTGTATGTTTATGAGAGCATTCTAAGGTTGGGAGACATCTTTACTCCGTGCTGTATGCTGAGGAGAGCATTCTAAGGCTGAGGCAATGAAGCACATAGAAGCGGCTTTGACAGAAATCCAACCCCATAACCCTTTGGGAATTTCTTCTCAAGATAATGCAGATGCATGTACACACACAGCACACCCATTCCTTTTCAGAACAGTGGTTGAGACACGAGATGGGATAAAATGAACTCTGACTGGAAATGTGGACCTGCATCTCTGTCTTCCTTCTCTTCAGGGAGCAAGGACAGCTACAACGAGAAGGGTTCTGGTGTCCCAGAAAGGAGCCGCAGCTGTGACCAGGGGACGCTGAGTGAAGAGCTGTGCTATTGACTTCCACTGTGAACTCGAGCCGAGACAGCAGGCTGTGCTAGCCAGCCCATCCTTTCTTGTCTAGCTTCGTTACTGGTTTGCATAGCTTGGATTCCTAAAGTCACTTTAACACCAGTACTTTTTGTTGTTACTGTGTATAAATCACAGCTACTGTGCCTATTCATGTAAAAGTAATTTTTGCCAAATCTCAGAAGTGTGTAGTCCCCCAGTGCCACCCTATTGAAAATGTCAGCCTGGCACAAGGTGTGTGGAAGGACGAATGTATCAGCTCTTCTGTGAAGTGCTGGATGCCCAGCACCCGGGTTCCAAAGGCCTGCCCTTCCTCCAGGTCACAGGCCCAACCACTGGCCATTGTCAGCAGAGCTCTTCATCCCCAAACTCTGTTGCAGCGTTTGCCGTGTGGGGTGGGAGGGAGGTGGGGTAGGGAGGTGGCAGTAGGGTGCAAGGTGCTTAAGGTGCTTCATTGGTTTTCCTCCTGGAGCTGAGATCCAGAGCCACTGTGAAAGGGGGTCCCCAGCACCACTCACCAGGAAAAAATGCTCGTTGGAAAGCAGTGCCACCTGGTGGGAGACAAAAGCAGTGCAAGCAAACATGTCATTTCCTACTGACCTAATTTGGAGAAAATTGTAATCGCATCTGTCCATAAAGTGATTCGAGGTGCTTACTCTGTGCTAGCTCCGAGAGGAGTGCCATCTTCCTGTGTTGAGGGTGGGGAATTGGAGCTTCAGGGACGTGACGTGCCACAAACACATCAGCGATAAAGGCCGGGCCTCTGCTTCAGTGCTCACCCCTGCACCACTGCCCACCCCCACTGCAACACTGAACTGAAACAAAACGGTATGTATCTGTAGGGCGCTCCTGTAAGAGGCGGGCCTGGTGGTGGGCATGCCACACAGGCCATGTCCCAGTCAAGCCGAGTCTGTTCTCTTGTGCTGAAGGACTGGAGGACATGGGATGGGGAAACGTGTCCACAAATAAGAGCCTTAGAATTTTGACAGCCAGGCTTTAAGCATTTGTATTAAGTTGCCACACCGTCAAGGCTTACCCATAAGTGAAGGTTTTAAATGTCCTCAGAGCTCCATTAGCAGAGGACTGCTTAACTTTACAAAGGTTTTGATTGTCCTGTGTGTTGTGGGGTACTTGATCTCACTGTGAAACGTTGAGACTTAATAAATGAACCTTGGATCGGGACGGAGCCAGTGACTAATTGGCAAGAACTAGCCCTAGAGAAGCCAGGAGTATGGGTAGAGAAGACACCCAGGAAGGAGTAGAGAGGGACTTGGAGATTGGAGGATTTGGGAGGACAGAGAGACGCTCTCTCGCTGGGCCTCTAGCTGAAAAGGAAAGTCAACTGGCTGTTTCTCAGCTTCTCTGATCTAACAGGTTTTCTTTCCAGCATCTGAATTATGACTATGGTAGATAGGACCGCATTTGGTGGCCACGACAGGGCTGGAGACAGTAATTAAAACATCAGTGGATGCAGGTGTAGCCACTAAGCTGCAAACAACACCTGTGCGTCTTGAGCATTAAGTGAATATTCTGTTAAGAATTGTAAATGTGAGGTCAGATATAACGACACCCTTGCAATCCCAGCACTCAGGAGGAAGGGGCAACAGGATCAGGTTCAAGACCAGCCTGGTTTGCATAATGGTCCCAGGCCAGCCAGCAAGACCATCTCGAAGAAGCCAAACGTTTAAAAGTGAAGTAGTGGTACAAGCAGGAAGAGCAAGTGGCTGTCGTGTCCCCCAAACCATCTGAAGCCCCAGGAATGGTGATGGCAATCACTCCACCCCACCCCCAAAGGCCTGCCAAATGGCAAGAGTGCTACCAGGTGACCTACTGTTGTAACTACAGCTATCCAACACATTCTTGCTGGCATCTTGGAGCTAGATCCTATGTGTTTTGTGGAACTTAACTGTGCCCTAAATGCAGACACAAAGTCGGCTCTGCCAGAGGCGGTGCTAGCCTGGCTTTGTTCTGAGTGCCCACCCATGCCATGTTGACCCTGTCAGGTGATGGACAGGGTGACAAACGGGAGTGTCGGCACTCACTCAAGCACTCAATCTCTGACACGTTGTGGACTCCTAGTCTGAACTCACAATACCTGGGTGCTCAGTACAGGTCGGACGTCAGTCTCACAGCAACACTTCCAGGTAGGAACTGTGCTTCCGTTTTATAGACATGGACTCACTAAGGGTAAGGATCCCC